ATTCCAAAAATGCCAGCCCCTTATTCAGAAAAATACGCCTTTTATTGAAAATTGCTGCACAAGAGCATAGCAGGTGTTCAGAGTCTTCCTTTTCTATGCCACAGAATCGAGACATATCCTCTTGAAGTTTTCCTATTAACTTCAAATGATATTTACATGGACAATGTCCTGTTACCAAACCAGTATAGACACTGAGATCTTTCTTTGATAATTCTAAAATTTTGCTAGTCATTGAAATGTTCGGAATTATGAACCGTTTCGACTGCCTAGCAACGGAATTGTTGTTTCAATTGGTCTCCACTTTCATTTTTATTCATTTCACATAATGGTTCTGGTCCTATGAATTGCTGAGATGATCCTTGCCTGGCTAACGTGTTGGCTTTTTCATTCCCTTCAATTCCACAGTGGCCAGGAACCCAATTTATATGTTTACTTGGTTTTGACAGGCCAATTTCTGAAGTGACATTGCACATTCCCATACGAGTTTTGAATTGCATGTTGCTGATTTTAAAGCATTTAATGCTGCTTGACTATCAGACATAATACAGATATTCGAATGTTTATAATTTCTGCGCAAGCATATTACAGAGCATTCAAGAATTTCTGCTTGGAACACGGTTGGCCAGTAACCCATAGAAATTGAGATAGCTACCCCTGCTCCCACACGATTGTTCAATCCTGAACCGACTGAATAAAAAAACAGTTAAACCTAGACGGATGTTTGGTCCCCCACTTACCCAAACATTACGATCAAATTCTGCTGCATTGAATAAACGATCGAAATTATATTTTTTCTCCATCCAGTCTTCATTTTTTAATACGAGAGAATCAATATCAAACTTTTTTTAAATGCTAAGGTGTCCTGTAAGATCACCTTCAAGGAAGTACTTTGTTCGTTGAACCCTTAAAGCACTCCTTTCAGCTTCTAATTGGATAAATTGATGCAACGAAAGCATACATGAAATGTGGTTTACGATACAAATATTTAATTAATCCTAAAACATGAAATTATTTCTATTCATCTTGAAAACAAACATTGAAAAAAAACCACACATACAAAATACACACTAAACACAAGATTAATCAAACTTACAATCGAAGGTTAATATTCTTATAGTAAACATATATGAGTTTCATAAACTCCAGATCGCGTCTAGCAAAAATATCCAGAACTGGAACATTAGGTTGTCTACCTCGAGCCCGAAGGGAATCATAAAAATGTGATCTGACTCCACGATACTCAGCACAAGACCAAAGGATGTGATCAGCGTCCTGGTAGCCTTGTCCACATTCACAGAGATTGCTGTTTCCCAACCCCACACGGAACAAGTGAGCGTTTAGACAATAGTGATTGGACATGAGACGAGACATCACGCGTATGAAGTCTCGACACAAGTCCAACCCTTTGAACCATACAAACTTCGATACCTTAGGGATAATTGAATGCAGCCATCGTCCCAAGCTCCCTTCACTCCATTGATGTTGCCAGCTAACGAGCGACTGCTGACGATAAATAGAGAAAAATTCACTATAGGCGATTTGTCGATCATAAATGTCGCCTTCCATAGCGCCCACCTTCGCAAGTGAATCCGCCTTCTCATTGCCTAAAATTGAGCAATGCCAAGGGACCCACGCGAAGGTGATGATGAAAGAGCGCACGGAGAAAGCACTAAGCAGCTCTCGTATTTTCAAGAAAAAGTACGAGAAGTGCCTTACCGGCCTTATGAAACGGATAGCCTCGACAGAACTGCGACTATGCGTAAAAATAAAGTAGTGGTCTGGAAGAAGTGAAGCAATAGTTTCCAAAGTGTAGTGAATTGCTGCCAGTTTAGCCATGTACACAGAACAAGGAGCTTCAAGTTTTCGAGAAGCGCTATGAAATTCATTAAATACGCCAAAACCAGCGGACTCCTCTTTTAGAGATCCATCTGTAAAAAAGTATAAGAGTCTGTGCCTAGGGGCACGAACGCAAACTTGGCGTAGGACAGCGCATTGGTCGGTGCATTAGTTTTTTTGTTTCAACAAGCTACAAACAGAATGGAATGTTATCAAATTGTTATTAAATTATTAACATTTAAAGCTTAGTAAATATGCAGATCGAAGCGAAGTGAAATTTGAAGCAAGTGAAAAATCATAAAATTTCACAGGCGAAAAAGGTTGCGAAAAAATGGATGTGGAATCACCAATTGGAATCTCAATTCCAATTGAGATTTTAACGTTCGGTTGTATTGGTGCAATATGTGAGAGCGTGTTAGTGAATATCCGAGAAAAATAAATTAACTTATTTTGACAGGTCTATTTTCATACATTTTTTAGGTTAGAGAGAGGAAAATAATAAACAACTTTACACGGCGTTGCTTCCGCTAGTGTGCGTGCGTTCAACGTCACTAATCTCTTTTCCCTCTTTTCGCAGTTCACTTGACATTTCATCACATTGATCAGTTTACACCTCCAGTGAAGTGAAAATTTGACAGATTCGCTTTTTTTCTACACATCAACAATTTTTTAAACTCATTAACCTTAGGTTGTAGATAGTTTGTTTTCTTAATTTGGTATATTTGTCAAGATGAATGTGTTTGCGAGAAAGTGTGTGTGTGTATATACATTCCTTCTGTAGTATTCATGTTCATCTCATGTTGAAATGATCAGTTCTTTAGATTTAAGTAAGTGTTTTAGAAATAGTTTCCACATTAAAACAAATAAAATTCGTAATCCTCTCAACCTTTCCCCATCCTTAAATTGTAAAACTCCTTAACCTCGAGACGACCGCGAGTAATCGGTTAAACCCCCTTAAATCTAGTTTTAAGATTCTTATTGTTGAAGAAAAAGAATATCTTGGCTCTGTGAAGTTTATTCGACTGAGCCTGTACAAATAAACGAATTACAAAAAAAAATTATTACATTTCACCGTTTCGAACGAACTGTCGCACTTTACTTGTGATCGATGCCATCATGATCTGCACAGTCGCTGGTGACACTGTACCGGCGAACTTATTCCACTTTAAACGCATTTGTTGTGCATTTGTCACTTCTTTAGTGCATCCTCGAAGTTTTCACTTGACAATTGCCCAATATTTTTCGATCTGTCTGAACTCAGGGCAATTCGGAGGATTAATCTCTTTGGCGACGAAATTAACATTGTTTGCAGCATACCATTCTAGTACCTCCTTAGAGTAGTGGCAGCTGGCTAGATCCGGCCAAAACATAACGTTGGTCTTGTGTTGCCAAAAAGACTTGTATCCTTCTCTTGAAAGGATATTACGCACAGTGTAAAAGTTGGAATCGCATTTCCTTGCCAAATCACGTATGGAGACACCTGGGTTGCTTTTCACGTACCTCAACACCTTTCTCCTCAGCTCTTTGTCTCTAGTGCCACTATTATGATAGATGCGCTCCCAAGTAACAATTTGGGTTTTATGAGGGTTATGTAGACCATGATTTAGACTTGTAGAATGCTTTAAAACCTTGATAAAACTTGAAATATTGCTTGGGCTGTGCTCTATCCACACTCAGAGTATCCTTGTAACGTTTGATTACAAGACTCACCGTTGACTTTCGGAATTTTAACACTTTAGCTATTTTTCTGACAGACCACAAAGGGTTCTCTAGATGTTTGTGCACAATTAATTTTCTTTTCTCAAGTTCTATGATCCGTAATTTCGGGATGCGTCAATTAATCGAGAAAAACTTTTCACCAACTTCTTTGTCAATGAAACTCAAATTTTTTGTTCCAACAACCAGGACCGCGGTGGTGTATTAAACCGTGCGTCCAGATTTACTTTGAATCGAGCTTTAATAGTCGAACGTCTTCTTAAGATCGAGGAATAACGCCCCCGACCCCGATTTTCGACCATCAATCGCTTCAGCTATCTCACCAATTAGTTCACATGTAGCAGTGAGAGTGCTAAATCCAACTTTAAACCCGTACTGTCGTTTGTAGATGAGATCATTGGGAAACAAGAACTCCGAGACCCTTGACGCAATCATCTGTTCAAGTATTTTACCCATCACTGGAGGCACCGATATTGGACGATAGTTGTTAGCACATGAAGGATCATTGGATTTGAATGTCGGTACGACACGAGCAGTCTTCAGGCACTCCGAGAAATCACCAGTCTCAATGATCTCGTTAAACACATTTTTCAGTATGTTTGCAAATTCTAGATGGTGGTTTTTATGATGGTCGCTCATATATTGTCTGGTCCGGCCGATTTGTTGATTGTTAGGTTCCTTATCAGTAGAATGACTTCTTCTATGGCAGCATATGTAATGATCTATCGGATTCTGGCTCGGCAGTCTTATAGCATATCAAATGAACTACAATGTTCTCGTTCTGACGTTTCGGTCCGGATGTGGACCTTCTTCAGAGATCAAATATTTATTATTCTATAACTTTTAATTTCATTTCTGACGATTCTAAAACTAGTTACAGTATCCGAAAGATCAATACATTTTACACCTACAATTCAATCGTAGATCGGTAGCCTAGTTGATATATTATATTTGCTTCTGTGTGCTACAAAAGACAACCAGGCCTTAGCCCGAATGGTTACTAACAAAGTAATTTTTTATGGATTTCGGGGATTTATGGGGTTTTTATATAAATTATGTAGTATTTTAGGGTTGACGGAGGTCTGCAGAAGTTGTGACCGGCTCTGCATTAGGTATGGCCAAATACGCTACGAATAAGGAAGGAGGTTTGAAATAAGTCAAACATATGTAACATCATTTAGTCATGGTCCCTAGGAAAACTGTATCAAAAATTAGATGTTGTTCGAAATCTCTTTGAAGTCATGCTCCATATGAGTTAATTGTTTTCAAGTCATGACCGTTAATAATTATCCAGCATCATCATCTACATCATCAAAAGACCCATGAAATGCATTGTTACTCAAATAAAGTATATTCTGCGAAATATGCTTTGAACAGTGCTTCATTGAAATCTTACCCGCTCCCTAGAAAGTAAAAAACAATCTCCACCCAATCAACCTATTGCTCACCGACTATCCGTACACCTTCGTCGTTCTCTCAATTGCTCCGTTCTTCCGTTCAAGCAAATAATTTCCCCCGAACGTCACACGCTTTCACTTATTGTGCTGTTTTCTAATTAAGATTTTTTCAATAAATTTTTAATTACACTCGCTCTTCGTCGTCGTCGTCGTTCCCTTCCGTGCACACTGAATTTCCTTTCTTCCTGACGACACGATTACCACTACACGGTGATGGTACTGACTTTTCACTTTGGCTCGTTCTTCTTCTTTTGTTTCAACAACCTACTAGCGGCGGAACAAGAACATTGATGAAATTGAGAGGAAAACCCCGTTGCCCTACCACTTGCCCCTCTCTAACAGATCTCAACGACTTGTCGGAAAATTGGCCCGCTTAGCTACAGAAGACATACGAGAAACACATAACGAAAAAAAAAAACTATTCATCCAACGATCGTCCGACCGAGGACCAAGTGCACAAAGGAGACCACTTTTCTTCCTATTCACTATTTATTCCGGTAGCCCCCTGAAGCATTCACACACCCATTCACATTTCCCTCCCGGCTTATCCACGTGAATGGCAATTTTTCTCCCGAGCGTGACAAAAAATGGGGATTTTCACTTCACATCCACATTCGCTTGATTCGCTTTCACACAAATTGAAACAGCACTCTTATAAATTTTCCACCGACATGTGTGCTCCACGACACGAGCGGCAGCACTTCCGTCCGTTTGTTCGGATAAATATCCCTGCTGGTGCTAGTACTCCTTTGCCAGAACTAGTTGTCCTAGTCGTAACATATTACTCTCACACCGTCGTCGCTGCCTGCCTGCGCAATCAGCTTCCCGCTTGCGTCATCTGCCTCTGCTCTGCTACCGAGGCTCTCGAACGCTCACACCACACCCGAGGACAACGAGGACGACCGGTTGCATGGCATTCGCGACGATGACTGAACACGAAAGGACGATCCTCCACGGTCGGTCGGTTGGCAGGCTGTGAAGCTGTTGGTTGAGTTGCAGCCCGGGGTCGAAATCCTATTGGACCAGGTGATACCTGCAATTGGAAAATTAAATTAACTATTGTTAGAGATCTTGCTTGGAGTGTGGTTTTTTTTTTCATCCTCTGCACGGATGGCTCGTATTTTCGTTGTCAAATTGAGAAATACAACCAACATGAAAGGTGCTGTTACTCGGGGAAAATTGGCGAGAAAATGGATTTGGTGAGGGAGGAAATTGGGAAAACCAACAATCACGGTTCGCGTTCTGGTTCTGTCGCTTACCGGTTTTTTTTTGTCGTCGTCGTTCGATGAAGTGCCAAGCATTGAGATGTGGGATTTGGTGACTTACTTATGGCCTGAAGGAGGAGGTGATTGTGTAGCAGCGTGCTTTTGGTTGCACTACTGAGACAAAATGCAATCAAGTTGATCGAATTGGAGCAGCAGGATGAGGGTAAGTAAAGAAGGTAGGGATTAAGTAAGTGACTTTTATTGATGGTGGCTATTTGGTTTTCCTTATCTGTCCCGCTTTGGGAGATTTATGACCTGTACTTTGTTTCGAAGGAATCGAAAACTATTTGGTGAAAGTGGAGCATTTTTCTTGAGAGGATGTTTTTAATAAATTCGATGTCGGTTCTTGAGGCTTTGCTTCGTGGAAAGGTTACTGAGCTTACGGAAGCTGAACATTATCATGGATTTCCTAGAACTTCGATGAAGCTCCTCAAACTTTTCTAGTGTTCTTAGAATTTATTTGTTCACAGTACTTTCCTAATGTTATTAAAATTTAAAGTAAGCAGAACTTCACCAGCGTTTGAAGAACTTATCTTATTTTTATAGAACTTTCCTGGCGTTTGCATATAATTTTGCTAAAGTTCACTAAACTCTTTTGAAGTTCGTAGAACTTACCCGGAGGACATTGAACTTCCTTGAAGTTCGCAAAACGTCCATGAAGTTTTCAAAAAATTCCAGAAGTTTGAAGAACTTTTCTGAAGATCGAAGAATTTTTATGAAAATTGCAGTACACAGTAACAAAAAAAGTTGTGAAATTATATCTTTTTCATGTAAACTTTGTCAGTACTGTTAAGGTAACATAAAACAAGCGGCGCCGGTGCTGTAGTGATTGCCTCTCACCCCAAAAGGCCTGGGTTCAATCCCAGTCGGCACCGCCAGGATTTTCTGAGACATAAAATCTCTAATCGCGCCTTCCTTCGGGAAGTAAAGCCGTTGGTCCCCGGTCCATGAGTTGATCCAAGTGTGGAAGCTGCCTTCCTGGCGTTGGTAGCATTGGTGCTCAGCACGGAAAACAAGATGGACAGAAAACAAATTCAAGTTAAAAAAAACCCGAATTTATCCACCTATGGTGTGATCAGACCCTTCTTACTTATTCAAGTTTATTTATTTTATTGTCATTATCAGTGACCAAGCCCCCCACCCCCGTGTCATCCAGTGACGCTATGCCACTGTCTGGGGGTACCCGGAATATATCCGGATGTAGTCTATTTGGTGAGGCTACCAATCACCTTATCATCGTATTTTAATGTGATTTAATGGGTTTTAATTCAATTCATATTCAAGCAACTTCCCCGGGGTACCCGGAACATGTCCAAGTGTGTCCAATGTGGTCTGGAACACTTAACACGACTTGCATTGATCTTATTTTTGAATTCTGTAGTAATTTGATGTGTCGCATGATGGTTTTGATACGTTTTCCGTTAAATCCAGCGTGAAGGCCCATATTCACCGGATCTTATTCCGGCCATATCTCCGGAACCGGTTCACCGATTCCAAAACCGTTCAATAGCGTTCAATGGGACCCCAAGACCTATCATTTGGCGCCAAATCGGTTGAGCGGTTGCTGAGAAACGTGAGGCGAAAAACACTAAAATGGTTTATTAATATTTTTGTAAAATATGTAACACATACTATTTAAAAACTATATACCATATCAACGGAAATACCCTACACTACAATATGGAACCAATGTTTCTTATTTGGAAAAAGCACAGCGAGTAAATTTATTCTTTATATTATACTATCAAAGTTAGCCGCATTATCAAAGATACCCCGTTTTACGGTATTTGAAATTGTGATATTTTGTCCCACATTTATAGGCGCCGATTGAATCTAGATGAAAACAGAACATTTCTCATGTTGATTGTGAGTTAAATGGTCCAAAGACAAAACGTCGATTGACAAAATGTCGAAAGGACTAAAGGTCGAAGGTATAGAAGGTCGAATGGTAAGAAGGGGGACAAAAAGTCAAGTGGACAAATGTTCGAACGGTTTAAAAAAGGGACACAAGGTCGAATGGACAAAAGGTCGAATTGACAACAGGTCAAATGGACAAAATAACAATTGGACAAAAGGTCAAAGGAACAAAAGGTCAAATTGAAAAAAAATATCGAATGGACACAAAGGTCGAAAGGAAAAAGGTCGAATGGATAAAAGGTCGAATGAACAAAAGGTCGAATGGATAAAAGGTCGAATGAATGAAAGGTTGAATGGACAAAAGTTCGAATGGACAAATGGTCGAATGGACAAAAGGTCGAATGGACAAAATCTCGAATGGATTAAAGGTCGAATGGACAAAAGGTCGAAATTACAACATGTCGAATGGACAAAATGAAGAATGGACAAAAGGTCGAATTGACAACAGGTCAAATGGACAAAGAGAAGAATGGACAAAATATCAATTGGACAAAAGGTTAAAGGAACAAATGGTCAAATGGAAGAAAAATATCGAATGGACAAAAGGTAGAATGGACAAAAGGTCGAATGGTTGAAAGGTCGAATGGATAAAAGGTCGAATGAACAAAAGGCTGAATGGACAAAATCTCGAATGAATAAAAGGTCGGATGGACAAAAGGTCGAATTGTCAACAGGTCGAATGGACAAAAGGTCGAATGGACAAAAGGTCGAATGGACAAAAGGTCGAATTGAAAAAAGGTCGAATGGACAAAAGGTCGAATGGACAAAAGGTCGAATGGACAAAAGGTCGAATGGACAAAAGGTCGAATTTACAACAGGTCGAATGGACAAAAGGAAGAATGGACAAAATGTCAATTAAACAAAAGGTTAAATGATCAAAAGTTCGAATGGACAACAGATCGAATGGACAAAAGTTCAAATGGAAACAAGGTCGAATTTACAAAAGGACGAATGAATAAAAGGTTGAATGGAAAAAAAAGTTGGAATGGACACAAGGTCGAATGGAAAAAAGGTAGAATGGTTCAAAGAGGGATAAAAGGTCGAATGGCCCAAAGAGGAATAAAAATTCAAATGGACTACTCGTCGAATGATGACAAAAGGTTGAATGATCAAAAGAGCTACAAAAGGTCTAAAGGACAAAAGGTCGAATAACAAGAAGGTAGACAAAAAGTCTAATTGACAATTGGACAAATGCTCCAAAGAGGGACAACATATCGAATGGACAATAAGTTGAATAGTACAAAAAAGGAGAACAATATAATAATACGCACATATATCTTAAGAAAATAGAAGAAAATAATATATCTTACAAACAAGCATAGTTCTTTTGAATAATAATGTTTTTATGGCTTATGACGCTGGGTATTAATAATCCATTATCATTATTTTTCCTTCTTTTCATGTCTTCTCGTTCTTTCTTGTAACCTCTTGTTGAATCCTTTGGAACAGTATTGCCATTAAATTATTTTTGTTATCAAATTATGGTTACAAGTTTATTGCAGATTGTATAGTTTTTTTTCCATCCCCATCCGTAGTTGCACTAACACTGTAAACTAGATTTGCATTATCAATATTATTCATTCTTTTCATCGTCAACGTAACAGTCGTCTGGCGTTAAGTCTGTCAAATTTTATTTCCACTATTTTCTATTTATTCAAGTGGGCTTCCCAACAAAGTTAACCACCATTCCATCTTTTGCCCCTCTTTGAGTCATCCGCTGTTTTTTTCTCCAGTCAACATTTTGTCCCCCTTCTCATCATTCGACCTTATGTTCAATTGTCATTCGAAGTTTTGTCCATTCTATATTTTTATGTTGTCGCTCTTTGAATCATTCGGCCTTCCATCCATTCGACTCATTGTCTATTAGATCTTTTATCCATTCGTACCTTAGACCTTTTGTTCATTCGCTCTTTTGTACCATAGACCTTTTGTTATTCGACGTTTTGTCCATTTGACGTTTTGCCATTCGATCTTTTGTCTATTCAACCTTTGCCATTCGGCCTTTTGTTCATTCGACCTATTGTACCAAACACCTTTAGATATTCGATGTATTGTCTATTCAACCTTTCTATATCGTCCCTCTTTGAATCATTCGCCCTTTTGTCCATTCGACCTTTTGTCCAGCCGACATTTTATCGATTCGCACTTTTGCCTATTCGACCTTTTTCAATTCGACTTTTTGTCAATTCAATTTGTTGTGCCCTTTCTCATCATTCGACCATTTGTCCATTCGACTTTTGTACGTTAAACTGTCCTTTCGACCTTTTGTCATTCGACGGTTTGTCGTTCGAGATTTCATTTGTTGACCTTTTTGTTGTTTGTATTTAGTACAATTTTGCTCATATGAGCGCATAGTAATTTGGATGGGCGCCCAACAATTAATTGATCAAGTTTGGACCACAGCTTTCATAAGAGAAGCGAATGTAGATCGATATTTATTTGCCGAGAATATATTTATTAAAAACTAATATTAATAATAATAATCGGTTTTCGGAGCTTATCACTCATGAAGTAACCTTGTGCTAAAAAACAGAATAATAAAGTTATTTAAAAGAAAAATCACGTAGTAACAAGCATGACAGACTGACTGACTGGGGCCTCCCTTAGCTCAGTTGGTAAAGGCGCAGCTACAAAGCAAGACCATGCTGGAGGTGACTGGGTTCGATTCCCGGTCCGGTCTAGAAATTTTTCGGGTAGGAAAATTTCTCGACTTCCCTGGGCATAGAAGTATGATTGGACTTGCCACACAATTAAACCAATGCAAAAATGGGACAGGCATCGAAAGCTCTCAATTAATAACTGTGGAAGTGCATCTAGAACACTAAGTTGAGAGCACGCAATAAACTGAAAT